TTTTGATTCGTTAGCACTGAGAGATAAAAGACCATTAAACCTCCGCCCCCCCTTGGAGAAGGATTTGACAACGTCAAATCTTCTTCTCTCGTTTTTTTTTTTTTTGGTTTGTACCAATTAGAATTTTGTTTGAGCGTAATACATGAGATTTGCGTAAATAAGCGTAATTACCGTTAGATTGACCTAAAGGTTTATATAAAAGAGGTACGGTCCTCAAAATAAGGACTTTAGGTGAGCAACATTAGTAACGTATACGTGGGTAAAGAGCTCATCACTTGACTAGAGCTAAAAATTTGTCTCTTGATGCTATAAGCACAATTTTTAAAGCTTGTAACTTGATATTTATATGTTAAGGTATAACGTTGGTAGAACATATTTAACGAATTTGGTTCATTTTAACGCTAAAAATGTATTAATATTTAATTAAAATGAACCAACTTGTAATTAGATTGGTATGGTTTGATGTTGCCTCTATGGGAAACCGGCTAAACCAAATCAAACCGCCTATAAATTTCATTGGTTTTGGCATGTGACATTTTTATATGAGTTACCACGTTTACCATTATGTTTCATCTCATACATAAGAGACACTGTTCTCTACTCGATCTTAATCGGTTTTCAACTAAACGGGGGGTGGGTTATGAGGTTTTACTAACGCTTTTACACTGATTTTAGCACTAACACTTTTAAAATATAGTTTATCAAACATTCAACTACTTTATTTTACAGCTAATTATTCTTAAAGACATAAAAACAGTTTTTTTTTAAAAGTGCAACAATTCCAAACTAGCCTTGAATCGCCAAACTGTCCAACAAAAGTTTGGTTTTGATGGGCTTTGCCTCCATTTCATGTAACCGAATCAAAACTCACCATTTAATGGCTGATCGAGCCACGATTTCAAGTAAAACCGATTCAAACCAGACTGCGCCCAAAATTAGTTGGACCCAGTGTACACATATAGTCAGCCCAAAATTAGATGCTTAAGTTCGAAATGGGGAAAAGTCCAATCCAAAGGTAAAGGGCTTGTTCCGCACAAGCCCAGCACAACACAGGGGCAAATTTGTCATTACGCTCGCACCACTAGGGTTTAGCCAAATTTAGGGTTTGCATATAAAGCGAAACAAAGTGCCATTTGGGTCGTCCTCTTCTCTCAGAACTCGGCAGCGCGAGCCTCCCCCTCTCTCTCACTCTCTCACTCTCCTTTCTGGATCTGACCTAGGGCTAACCAGCCATGGTGCACGTCGTCCATTACCGCAACTGTAAGCCTCTCATCTCCCTCTCTATCTTATATCTACGGAGCAATTAGGGTTTCGATTGAGCTGTTTATCTTTGTTTGTAGATTTTGATTGCTTTCTTTTCGAATGATTTAGCTATTTGTTGGTTTTATTATCCTAATCTGTTGAAGTTTAACGAGTTTTTGAGTTTGCCCATTTGTGTTAATCGTCATTAAACTTTGATTTCGTTAATTATCCTCCTCTTAATTCAGCATTTGCAGCCAAATGAGTGTTTAATCTGTATTTAGACAATTTTTTTTGCTTATGATGTTACTGGATTTTCTTGGATTAATCATGTTTGCTTTGTTTATGCTGGATCTAGCTAAATCACGTTTGGTTTCAAGTATTTATGTTGAAAAATCTTGTTCTAAATTGTTTACATTGAAGCTGTTTTTTCCATTAAAAGAAAAAAAAAACCTGAAAAGAGTTAGGGTTTAGTACAAAAGTCTTAGGGGGGTGCTTAAAATTTACACTTTTTACTGATAGAATGATTTTCGTTTTTACCCCTGTTATTAATCCCTTTTTTTACTATCAGTGTGTGATGTTATCTATCAATTGAAAACCTGTGTATGTTTCATTATTCAAATTCAAGTTTTGAATTATGATTTCGTTCTTGTCAATTTTTGATATTGTTGAATGAAATTTGTATTGAAATGTTTGTACATTATGATGTGTGATGGCAGATGGGAAGACCTTCAAGAAGCCACGTCGTCCTTATGAGAAGGAACGTTTAGATGCTGAGCTGAAGCTTGTTGGAGAATATGGACTCCGCGCAAAGAGGGAACTGTGGAGGGTTCAGTATTCTCTGAGCCGTATCCGTAATGCTGCCAGAGAACTTCTTACCCTGGATGAGAAAAATCCTCGCCGTATCTTTGAGGGTGAGGCTCTTCTTCGCAGGATGAACAGGTATGGGCTTCTGGATGAGAGCCAGAACAAGCTCGATTATGTGTTGGCTTTGACAGTGGAGAACTTTTTGGAGCGTCGTCTTCAAACCCTTGTGTTCAAAACTGGTATGGCCAAGTCCATTCACCACGCCAGAGTTCTCATCAGGCAAAGGCACATCAGGTATAAACCTTGTTACTCAAAACGTCGTTTGTGTTATCTGTTTGTTACATATCTATAGTTGGGAGATGTGTTTAATAAGATGGCAATTTTTCTACCAACATGGTTGATCTTCTTATTTGTTAGTTAAGCTTCAAATTGTTTTGGACGGCTAATGATTTTCATGTGTTTTGTAAATCAAGCTTCACATTTTCCAACTGTTCTCTCTAGGTTATTACTTGTTGTCTGGTTATTTGTGCGAGTTTACGTGGTTAAATTGTCGTGACTAAGTGGGTTAACTGCGTGTGTCTACAATTTTTATGATATTATTTGTGAACACACATTGTTCATACTAAGCATGTGTTCTTTGGTATTATTATTATCTTCAGATTAAGCATAGTGAAATGAACATTCTATATCTATCAACGTTTTTGGGTGAAGAGTTGGAGGGCGGGAGTTGGGTTTTTCTATTTTGTGTGCTGGAGCCATCTTTGTCGTACAGCACAATGTTCTCGCGGAAAAGAAATGCGTTGTATGTTTTGTTAAGTTTGATGTCAAAGCTTGTGGTGTTTATTTTTCAATATCCTTCTTTCATTGCCAGGGTCGGAAGGCAGGTGGTCAACATCCCATCTTTCATGGTGAGGGTGGACTCCCAGAAGCACATTGACTTCTCTCTCACCAGTCCCCTCGGAGGTGGGCGCCCTGGAAGGGTGAAGAGAAGGAACCAGAAGGCCGCTGCCAAGAAGGCTGCTGGTGGTGATGGCGACGAAGAGGAAGAAGAATGAAGTGGAGGCCTCTCAATTTAGAAGCGTTTCGATATCACGAGCCTTGATTTTATCGTTAGTTTCTTTTACCGACCTTTACAGTTTATTTTAGCGGATGTTATAAGCGTTTCTTGCTCGTGTTTTGTTGCGACTAGAGCACAAATGTTTTGCTTTAAATACCCTAAGTAATGAATTTTGTGTTAGCTTATTATAACTTTGGATCTATGTCTCTAATTTCGTTGCACTGTTTGCTTTGATTTGATGAATTTTCCTGTGTTTTTTTCTCTGCCTCTTTCGTGTTGAGCATTTTTCTCATAATTTCATTTTGTAACCGTAGCATATGTAGGTTTGCATGTCCAAACTACCTTAATTGATTTTTTCTCATCATATCTTAAATTGCGGCCATTCTTCCTTTTTTGCGAATATCCTTGTAATTTCTCGTGTGTCCACGTGTCCATCGAAGCATTCTTATTATGCTATACTCATTTTTTTGTATATATTGATTTTTACCTGTCTATATTCCCCAACACGCTCGAAAATTACTTGGGTCGCACAAATGCACAACATGCTCGTAAAGTACTTGTCTCGATCTAATTTGCTTAATTTGCGTTTCAATTAAGAGAATTAAGAGAATTGTTATTGGCACTTTAAAATTTTCATTTTGCATTCTAAACTTTCTATAATTAGAAAGAATAAAAAAACACTTGTGAAAAGTGTAGAATGAGATTTGTGAAGTGTTAATAATAGTTTTCTTCAATTATTGATGTCTATCAATATAGTGAGAGGTGTCCAATTTCTTTTGTGGTTAAGGAGTTGGGTCTCCATCTCGATAAATTTTTAATTGTGAAGGAGACACAAGTGGTACATCATATGTTTTAATGGGAATAGTGAGATTATTAATTTTTTAGCACACATATCTTATTATTTATATAATAATATGATAATATATTATTTCGTGTGTGTTGATGACATGGAAAAATCTCTTCTCCATCTCTCTCTCGTGCACGTAATCAAAATCATGCGGTATCACGTTTTGAATTTGAAAAATGGAATTTCGTGGGGTCCCTCCCACGTGTTCCACATTAATTCCGGTCTTAGATATTTATCTCATTGCAATTACACCCAACCACGTCTTCTAGAGATTTATCTTCCGTCTCGGTGTTGTGTGGCATTGTTATAAATCAGACACGTGTCATGTTGTTGCGATGCCGTATATATGGGTTCGTTTTTCATTTGGAGAAAATTTTCATTGCGACGGGAAGACAAGTGAGACATCATGTATTTTAATAGGAGTGATGTGAAATTTTATTTTTCAAGCAATTAATTTTTTAGCACACATATCTCACCGTTTGTATAGTATACATGGTGTATCATTTTATGTATCAATCACACTGAAAATTCATGGTAGATCAATGTCAGACCGAATCAATCAAACTACTCAAGAATTTACGTGCGAACATGAGAATAATATGGGACTCAGTGGGCCAGCTGCCCTAGCCAAGTTTTTCCCGTTCTAAAGAGGAAAAGATATGATAATGTTTGGTTAGCTGATATGCTTGAGTTGTTTTAACTCTTAAGATAGAGACAATATAATCCTAATCATAGTGAAAAGGCCATCGCTTAAGAAAGAACGCTCATACTACAACAGTATAAAAACAAATAATAATACGTAATCAATTTCAAATACCTTCACAGTTGGATTTGGATACGGTTAAATCAAATTACTAATTGATTTCCATACAAAACGCGAAACAGCCTCGTCCTCCTCGTCCAGCTACGACGAAAAAGGCCGTTAGAGCGGTCTCCAAGTCGTGGAGTTTATAACAACCACATGTCCTGTCGGTCCACCACGTGGCCACCCTCGTTTCTCTCTCATTATTCCCACGTGTCGACCTCCCATAAGTTTCCGCCCGCAATAAAGGTTATAAAACCTCGGGTTCCATGCCAGAGCTCGCGTTCGTCCAAAGCCAGAGCTCTCGCCACTGCGCAATACGCACCGTTTCGACCAACATGATGACACTGCGTCACAAGCAGGAGGAAGAGAACCGGAACCGGAACCAGAACGAGATTCGGGAGATGATGGAGGAGGTCCGGCGGAGCATGCTGTTCGTTTCGTCGAAGGAGAAGAAGGCGTGTACGGACGAGCGGGAGGAGGACAGCGCCGGGTCGTCGGAGGAGATGGAGTCGCCGAGGTCGGTTGGGCGATGGCGGAGGAGGACGACGAAGGAGGGGTGCGTGATGCACAGCCAGGTCTTGAGGATCAGAGAGGAGGACTCGCATCTCGGCGAGAGTACGGTTCCGATAGGTGCTGCTGCTGCAGCCGGCAAAGATTATCACGGCATGGACGTTATGCTTTTCGCCCGGCCAATCTTGCCTTCCTCGCCTCTCAAGAAAACGATCAACGCTTAGTTTGCGCGAATTACTCTGCTAATCATGTTCAGGTTTGTTATTTCTTCTTCTCTTTTTTCTGAAATTGATTGATTAATTTGTTGCTTTTGTTTCTTTGATTTCCTTATGAAATTCTGGTGTCGGTGGTGATCTGGATTGTTTCAAATCTTGATCTGCAAATTATTTGAGGATTTGGTTTTAATTGTTTATTCGAACCTTGAGTTTTTTACCATAGCTTCTGTTTGGATGCTGGGAAAATTCATGGTAATCAAAGTTCATACAGGATTGTTTTCAGAATTTTCTCAGAAGTGTGGATTTTCTTTTCAGAAGTAAATTACTATTTTTCAAAATCCTCTGATAAGATCAAAGCAAGTCCTGAATTTCTGTTAAGAAATTGCTTAACTTGTTTTCGGTTCAAGGAATCACAATTTTATTCGTTGGTCCATATAATTTTCACGGCATCCAAACGACCCTTTCAAACTTTTCCGATTCTTTAATTTTCTTTTGACTATTTCACTTTCCCTCCATTTGTCTGTTATTGGGCTTGGCCCAATTATTGTTTGGATCTTAATGGGCTTACTTGTTTTTCGTTTAGGAGGAAGAAGTTGATGGCTTTCATGCTGAAGAAAAGAGCTGCAATGAAAAATTCCGAGGAGAAAGACGAAAAGTTAGAATTAAGTTCCATCTTTGTGTTTTTTTTTTCCTTTCTTTCTAGGATAAAAGTGTAGTCAGTTTGTTCTGCAAGCTTTTCTGTACAGTTAAACAAAAATACTTTTTGATAAATCAAAAGCACTTTTTGAAATAGCTGAAAACTTTTTTGAAGCGCATAACAAATGTTTTTTGCAAAAAAAACAATTTAAACGCTTCTAGGACTCAAAAATATTTTCCTAAAAGTGATTTTGGTAATTTTAAAATACTTCCCAAGGAGCCCAAAAGACTTCCAAAGCACTTTGCTTATATCTTTTGCTCTAACGTTAAAAGCACGTATAGCAAAACTGCTTGCGCAGATCGTTTTGTCAACGTGAGGTCCTTTCCAACCACTAGGAAACAACTGCCCGAGGGACACGTGCCCAAAAGAGGATATATTTTTCCTAAAATTGGTTTCAGTAATTTTAAAATACTTCCCAAGGAGCTCAAAAGTGTTTCAGACTACGGTTGTATTGTAGAGGAAACACTTCAAAGCACTTTGCTTAAATCTTTTGCTTATGTTAAAAGCACTTACAGCAAAACTGCTTGCGCAGATTGTTTTGTTAATGTGAGGTCCTTTCCAACCACTGGGAAACAATTGCCCGAGGGACACATGCCCAAAAGAGGATTAATAAGGTCTGATTTGGTACTGAGGTGATTATGAAAAAAACTGGTATAAAAAAAAGCTGGGATCTCTTTTTGTGTTTGAAAAAAGCTGGTATAAAAAAAGCTGAGATCTCTTTTTGTGTTTGGTAAACATTCAGCTTCAGCTTTTTTTTCACAGTTTTGGGTGAAAAAAAGTCAAAAACAAGAAGCTGCAAAACCTAGCTTTGAAAAACTAGATTTTTTTCATATCTGTTTTACATAAAAGTTTACTAAACACTATAATACTGTTTTTTTTTTCTTTTCAAAAACACTTTTACAAAAAAGTTTACCAAACACTCTGCTGCTTTATTTCACAGCTGCTTATTCTCACAGCACAGCAGAAACAACTTTTTTTCAAAGCACAACAATACCAAACCAGCTCTAAGTCTACTGGTCAAGGGCCCACTGTAACAACAACGATATTGTCTCTAATTTACCATATGTCCAATCCGTTAGGTGTGGAGTTTTATCACAAAAAGCTTCGGTATTAATTAAAGAAGGGTATTTTTATTTAAACTGCTTTCTCTTTGGTCCTCTGGCCGACGTGAGACAATGGATTCCAAGAATACTGCTTAGAAGGGGTCAGAATTGAGAGATTCGGTGTACATAGCCCAATTTTAAGGAGTTAACTACTTCTATATTATTTTTCAGTTTGTTAGTCTAAAGTCCGAACACGTAAACACACGATTATTCTAGTCTTTGTTGACCTCACTAATTTTAAGCATTAACATGTCTGAATTGAGCCGAAAAACATCATCACGTGACCGAATTGTAACAAAAGAAAGCATCATTCCATTAATAATAAAATTCAGCAAGTTTCGTTAATCTGGAACACATTAACAGCTTTTTTAAGCTAAACCAACAACTACCTAATTCTAATACTCATCGTCTTCACCATCGTCACCATCAGCAGACTCAAGCCCAACTTCCTCATAGTCCTTCTCGAGCGCGGCCAAGTCCTCCCGAGCCTCCGAAAACTCTCCTTCCTCCATGCCCTCACCCACATACCAGTGCACGAAAGCACGCTTCGCGTACATCAGATCAAACTTGTGATCAATCCTCGAAAACACCTCAGCAACACTTGTGGAGTTGGAAATCATGCACACAGCCCTCTGAACCTTGGCCAGGTCGCCGCCAGGAACGACAGTAGGAGGCTGGTAGTTGATGCCGCACTTGAACCCAGTCGGGCACCAGTCCACAAACTGAATGGTCCTTTTAGTCTTGATCGTGGCCACGGCCGCATTGACATCTTTCGGAACCACATCTCCCCTGTACATCAAACAGCAGGCCATGTATTTTCCGTGCCTTGGGTCGCATTTCGCCATCATAGACGCCGGCTCAAAGGCGCTGTTGGTGATCTCGGCAACAGAGAGCTGCTCGTGGTAGGCCTTTTCTGCGGAGATCACAGGTGCGTATGACGAAAGCATGAAGTGGATTCTTGGGTAGGGGACCAAATTGGTCTGGAACTCCGTCACGTCCACATTGAGTGCGCCGTCGAAACGCAGAGAAGCAGTGAGCGAGGAAATAACCTGCACAGAAAACACAATTCCTCATCCACATTAGCAAGAAACGCGCAGGAAACAAACTATCAAACACTTCGACTGCACAAGAGTAAATTATCAAATACTATGAGTTCACACGGGCAAATTATCAAACACCTTCGGTGCACAATGAAAGCCTCAATCAGTTTTACCTGAGAGATCAGCCTGTTGAGGTTGGTGTACGTGGGTCTTTCAATGTCAAGAGACCTGCGGCAGATATCGTAGATGGCTTCGTTGTCGAGGAGAACCGACACATCGGTGTGCTCCAAGAGGGAGTGAGTGGAAAGCACGCTGTTGTATGGCTCAACGACGGAGGTTGAGACCTGAGGAGACGGGTAGACTGTGAACCCAAGTTTCGATTTCTTTCCGTAATCGACAGAGAGCCTTTCCAAGAGCAGAGAGCCGAGGCCAGAGCCGGTTCCACCTCCAACGGCGTGGAACACCAGAAAACCTTGAAGCCCCGTACAGTTATCAGCAAGCTTTCGGATTCGATCAAGGCAGAGATCAACAATCTCCTTCCCAACTGTTGGAACACCAACACAATAAATCAAACGAGAATCAACGGAATTATTTCGCATTTTGAAATCGGAAGTTCGAAATTGGGGTTGTGAGAGAATTTTTTACTTGTGTAGTGGCCTCTGGCGAAGTTATTGGCGGCGTCTTCTTTGCCGCTGATGAGCTGCTCCGGGTGGAACAGCTGGCGGTAAGTGCCGGTCCTGACCTCATCCATAACGGTGGGCTCGAGGTCCAAAAATACGGCACGGGGGACGTGCTTTCCGGCTCCGGTTTCGCTGAAGAAGGTGTTGAAAGCGTCGTCTCCGCCACCGACGGTCTTGTCACTCGGCATTTGGCCATCAGGCTGCACAAAAAACATCGAAGATAAAAATAAAAATCCCAAATTATATTTGGAACAGAGAGATAAACAAAACCCGGTACCGAAATCGCGGAAGAGATTAAAAAACAACGGACCTGGATGCCGTGTTCGAGGCAGTAGAGCTCCCAGCAGGCGTTTCCGACTTGGATTCCGGCCTGACCGATGTGGATGGAGATGCACTCTCTCATTTTTTTTTCTCTTTTGGGTTTTGTTTTCGTGAGAAGAGAGAGCGAGATGTGCAGAGAAAGAGAGGTAATTTGAGGATTTGAATTTGTGCGAAGGATGAGATTTGGGAATTTATAACGGTATTGAAGCCAACAAATCGGGTGGCAAGAAATTTTGAAAAAGCCGAGGTTTGGTGGGTCCCAGCTGTATGTGACCGTTAGATTTGAAATTTGAATTGTGAAAGCGCGAGAACCGACTTAGTCTAGTTTTATTGGACTGGGCTAGCCTTTGCACAAGTCTCAGTTAGCCCACTTTACAAATGGACCTATCAAGCCTCTTTGGGCCTTTGGGCTTTGGACTGTTTTGTCCTGGCCGTGTGCCCGCACCCTTGAATCTAAGCTCGAATCCCCCTATTGTGTGTAAATTTATAGGAGTTTATACTGAAATATTGCCGTGTAAAAGTTTGTGTGATCAAGATGACTTAAACGATTGGTTTAAGTCGAACCTTTTGGAAATGATATAATAGCAGTCGCTCAAGTTTGAATCTCACTTGACTCCAAAAAAAACATTCTCAAGGCACTAGTTGAATTCTGGCTAGGAGTCATACAATCGATCCAAAAAAGTCTAGTAAATAATATACCAATTACCCATTTCACATTTGCTAATTTGGTTTAAAGTCCACACATTCTAACCAAGACTGACATGACCATCGTTTTAAGATGGAAATTTGATTTTATAAATGTAAATCCATCCCAAAGCTCATCATGTTCTTACTTTGCGGCCAAATGTCCCTTCAATTGTATGGCGTACCGTTTCGTGTTTCAAGCACACTGAAAAATTTTTCCGTCCCCACAACTAATCATGATTAACACTTTGTGAAAAAGTTATAGTATTCCAATTTCCAATTGTGACATCTTATTTTTCTTCCGTTGGGTCCATTTGGGGCTATTTAATACACATGCAATGTTTACTTCGAAACAGTTTTGTATCTGCTTTACAGACATCCTGGGGCATAAATCATGCTCGCAAACTTTACAGAAAGTTTGCAACTTTGAGAGCCCATGCTTGTGTTTCTTTTAGCAGCTGTGTCATTGCATCTTTCCGAATACAAAAAGGTATATAGGAAGGAACGAGATTACAGCCGAATTGTAATTTGCGAGATTCGAACTAAATACCTACGTTGTTATGAAGTAGAGATTAGGCGCAAAAACTTCAAAACACGAATAGCGTTTGAACTATAGTTTCATGAGTTATTAAAAGTTGTGATAGTTGCATTAACAGGTTTACACATTCGAGAAAATCTTGTGCGCGACATACCCGTATAAGGCGATAGATTCAATGGAGTGCGAAATATGTAGGGTTGGGCGTGATCATATACATATCTTTGTCACGAGGTATGTGTGGATGACTGACGTGGTTCTAGTATGTCTGTTGCCCTATGTATCTCCCACGACTTTGAGTGTTATTTGGAAGGCTGGATGAGATTCGGTCTTGGAATAGAATTGGATTGGCAAGGATTGGTTATGCAGTACTTACAACCCGTGCATATGAATGGGTTAAATAATTCACTTTATTGTGGATTTATAGCTTATTATGTCCATCTCACGTTTTGACACAACAAACAACAGACTAAACTCAAATCTAGTTTGAATGATCATAACCTATCCCAACTAGCTCACCAACGTGCTCGAATTTCTTGCCCCACTACTCAAGGATGCAATGGAGGTAGGGTTGATTGACGTGGTTCTACTGCCGAATTCAATAATTTCTCTATTGTAAAGTAGAAATAATAAAAAGTTTAGACAGAATAACTGAGATTGTGACAATTTTGGGGGGTCCCCGAAGTGTGGTGTGCTGCAGACGAGTCCTCACTTCTTTTCCCATGATTTTCCGGTATTCGTTTGATTGATCATGAATTTTGAACATAAAGCTGTCTTCAGATAACAATTCACTGGCTCATACAAATTGAACCCATTTTTTAATTAATTGAAAAATCAAATAAAATACTTTAGTTATTTTTAATCAAGTCAAGTACTTTAATTATTTTTAAGTAATTTCAGTGCAGCTGAATGAGCAGAGACTCCAAAAATGTGGTCCAAGCAAAAGCAAACATGTAAGATTATAGACTCTTTGTCTCCAGATTGTGGTCCTAACTTAATTTAATTTAATTCTTTCTATGTTCCAAGCAGCTTCTACTTTTGGGAAAGGAATCCTATCTGGATCCCTTCCTTCTAATATATTAAGTTCAGAAATCTAAGCCGTTGAAATTTAATCTAACAGTTAAAGTTATTATAACTTTTAAAGTGGGCCCCTATTTGTAGCCGTTGGATCAAATTTCAACGGTCTGTATCCCCGAACTTGATGGATTAGGAGAAAGGGGTCCGGAGAGGATCCCTTTCCCTACTTTTGCATGCTGGCCAGATAATTAAAACTTAAAAAAAAATGTTTAACAATGTTTAAATATTTAATTAGGAGTATAGATTCATAAGGGCTCGTTTAGAACTGTTTTTAAAGTGATAGGAAACGTTTTTGGGTTTCAAAAGTATTTGAAATGTTTTCTGCAAAAAAACACCAGTTATGTGCTTTCTTTAAGTGTTTTTTTTTTCAGTATTTATTTACATTGTTACTAGGAATTGATTTCAAAAATATTTTCATTAAAAATGTTTTTAACAATTTTAAAAACACTTTCAAACGAGATCTAATTAAACTAAACCCTAATTTGAGAAGCATATCACATGCTTTAGTGTTAGCAAAACATCAACAAGGACAGGAGTAGCTCACCTAGTGTCCCCAAAAGGACACACATTGCGACTAAAGCCACTTCAACTTATAGGGCCTAAAAACACTTGGGGCTATGTCTTTACTTTTATATAGCCTCTTCCAACGGACCTGGATTGTGCGCCCTTCCCATCCTATACCCTGTTCATTCCTTTTTA